AATCTTGATTCCTAGCCCAGCTTTTTCGGCCGTACAATTCATGTCCGGTTCGCAATTTGCACAAATGCCTGCTAATTGTTCCTTCTTTGTGTGCGGCCGCAGATGGAATTCTGTGGTCCGCGATTTCTTATGCGGATCGCACATTGTGTGCTTTTGTGCCCTTTATTGCCTTATGCTTAGACTGCTCTTTTTTAGTCAGATTTCATCTCAGGGGCCCAACTTTCAGCATTCCTATAATTTTGCACAATTTTATTAGTTTTGGGAACACAATTCAATATTTTTAGACTAAAATAAAAGTAAAAAGGATCTAATAAGTAGGCAAAATCCCCACTTATCAAGTGCGAGTACCGAGTGATTGGGAGGACTGAGTGGATTGATACTCTGAGAGCATACATATGGTTATTCGCTATGTTGTACCGCATTCGACATGCACACTTGACATACATACATAGAGATGCATTTTTCCTTATGTTATACGGTATCATGTCATTCATGACTTCTCATACACATTGACATGTAGGCAAAGAGATGTACTTTCCTCATGCCATTTGATAATGACACATTTACATGCGGAAAAGTTTTGGGAAGAAAAATCACAGTTCTCATACTTACTCATATTTTCGGTGATTGCGGCAAAAGATTTGAGTTTAATTGTAATACTTGAAAAGTAAATGACTATTTTTTCGGAACTGTGAACGAGATGAGCATTTTTATCGTAGAGTTATTACTTGTGTTACTTTCATTATATTGTTATGAACAATTACTGGTTATTGGTGTCGGACTTCGACCTTTTCCCTAGCTCGTCACTATTTTTTACCTAAGGTTAGGTTTGTTACTTATTGAGTACATGAGGTCGGTTGTACTCATACTACACTTCTGCACCTTGCGTGTAGATTTTGGACGTTGATGTTACTGTGTATGACGGAAGCTAACATTAAAGACGTACTTGCGTTCTAGTTACAACTGCCTCTTACTCATGGTAGTCGTAGACTTATGAAAATCTGTTTATGTACATTCACACAGATGATGTATTTATTTCATACTAGATTTGTAAACTCTAAATTTTAGAAACTCATAATTTGTACTACCAGTCCTTGGGATATTTTTGTATAACCACAATTGTATTATCATTTTTTTTCTTAATAAATCTCATTAAATTGGATAGTTATTAATTGACTTACCTGACAGATTGGGTTAGGTGCGATAACGAGTAGTTGAATTTTGGATCGTGACAAATCACCATCTAAAATTACATTCATCTTTAACACATAAGAATAATGGACATATATTTGTATGAGATATCACAAGTAATAATTTTTGCAAAAAAAAAAAGAAAAAACATCTCTTTATTTTCTAAAGAAATAAAAAATAATTATGTAATTAAATTAAAAAATTGATAAGTTTATTGGTGGGTTCAATCCTGCACACAACTCCCCCAAGAATAATCTCTTCTTTTTTTCTATTTAAAGATATATTTCCCTGTATATAAAAGAGGGAATAGACATGGTGACTTGGCACCTTTGTTTGACCGAGGATCTTTTTTTTTTCTTCTTCTTTTTTTCCTCTTATTTTTATTTAAGTAAATTAGCTTAATAATGGCTTGAATCTTTTTGATTTTCCACTTTTATTATACTCTCTAAACCATTCCGTTTAAAAACTCAAAATGTCATCTTCTTCTAACATTTCAAATTTTTTCCCTTCCCCATAATTGCTTATTAATTAGATATTTATCATTTTGCTTAGTAATTAAGGTGAAAATAGCACGGGTTAGCCAGTTTTCGTATTGGTAATTAAAAAATAACTAGAGTTTGCAAAGTCACTTGTAATATGTTATTCACTTGGAAAATGGATAACTAACGGGTTTTACATTACACTTGTAAAACTTCAAATTAGGGGATTCCTCAAGTTTGAATGACTAAGAATTCTACCAAAAGTGATCATATTCAAGAAATCATGAATAATATGGATATTCATATTATCCGCCGGTTAATCTATTTTTTATCCATATTAAATCTGGATCGGATCAGATAATTTGTCCGCTTTTTCATTGCCTGTTTTTGGCCCGCCCATATCAGACATGACCTGTCCGTTTGACACACCCAGTAGGTAGGGTCGAAGAAAAAGTAAGAAATATAATTCCAAGTTTAGTCTTCTTCACTTCCTTTTTAATCTAGTTTCTTAATTCTCTCTTTTGTTTGCCAGCATTAAACAAAAGTAAAAGTTATTAAAGACGAAATCAGCGTTTGGACATTAAAAAAATAAAGACCAAAAGTTATCAAGTCACATGTTAGACAGTTTTACTATTCAGAGAGCAAAAGCTGTAAAAATCATTTTCAGTTTATTTTGTGGGAATAAAGATGATTTCTTGGGTTAATCAGTTTGCTACAGTTCCTTCTTTTATCTCTACAGTTCCTTCTTTTTAATTTAATAGACATCCACTTTGATATATCTCATATAAGTCCGAAAACAATATCTTTAAAATTTATATATGTCAACTAATTTGCCGTAGCCCGTAAAAATCCGCTTATTTTGAGAAGTGTTTTTTTTCAAAAGTACTTTTAGTGAGAAACAATTTGTGTTTGACTAATTAATTTGAAAAGTATATCTCAGTAGCAATTAGTGCTTGACCAAGTTTTTAAAAATTGCTTCTAACTGTATTTTCTCAAAAGTGCTTTCAAAAAGTATTTTTTTTGGAGAGAAACTACTTTGTTTTGTTCTCCAAACCTTAGAATCACTTCTTTTCTTCCAAAAGCTTGGCCAAACACTTCAACTTTGAAAAAAATACTTTTTGAAAAAATATGCTTATCAGATTGGAGAATCTTGGCCAAACAGGCTATAGAAGTGATAGAAAGATGAACAAAAATTTGAGATGTTTCTGCTTTTTACAAATATGAATATCCAAATGAAGTACTCATGTCAAATTGCTTGAAAAGTTCCTCATTCTTGCCGCAATCATCCAAATAAAGTATTCAAATAATATAATTATTATAAAAAAAAATACAACAAAGACATTAATACGCCGATAAGAAGTAGCAATAGTAAAATCATGTCCAAATAGAAAATATTCTCACAGTAACCTATTCATATTGAATATATGAGATAATATCTAATGGGTAGTGTATTGAACTTATTACTATTGGCATATGGATAATGGACTAAATATAAAATATAAAATTTTGGATTTTCGAATATCCAAAAATCTGAAGTACCAAATCAAATATCCAATTCGAACTACTAAATTTAAAAATTAAATCCAAAAATCCAAAAAATCGGATTTGAAAAGACTAAAAATAGCTAAAAGTAGAAAGAATAGACTCAATCCTGGTTTATAAACTCTTTGGCCAATTTTCTTTTTTACCAAAAGTATTTTTTTATCAAATTTTTTTTTCTTCTAAAGTTAAATTGTTTGGTCAAACTTTTAGAAGGTAAAAATGCTTTTGAGTAAAGGCAAAAGTAGTATTTCAGACGCAAAAAAAGTAGCTTCTCCTCAAATGCAGCTTTTGAAAAAGCACTTTTGAGAAAAGTGGCTAAATTTTAATTACCTTTGAAACTGTGACTATTTATCAATTACCACTTGTAAATCTAGCTATTTTTGAATTTCACCTGTAATTAAGTGACACCCAAAAGATATTTATTATTCTTCTTTCATTTTAACTTTATTTATCCTTGTTAAATCTCAAACTCTCAAAATGCATTTATTAATAAATATTATAATTGTATTACAACAAATAATATGTTATTTATAAACAAAATTTAAACAAAATGAAATGCAAGAGGATCTAACATTACATTTTTCTTTCTATCCGTTGACGCTAAATACTTTTTCTCATCTTCTTTTCTCTAATGTTTATATGAATGTGATTGAACTTCAAGAAGTACCCATATTTTATGATTGTTATTTATCACATGGGTTAAATAAATTTCATATGATAAAACCTATTTATTTAGTGTATAAACATAAACCAATTGAAGAATTTAGAAACTTCGACAATATTGCCAAGCCAATACTCAATTATTTTACTTTAATGCAAGTAATAACACGGCGTCCATTAAATTGACCAAGTTGTTTATAATGATTAAAAAAAATAATATTTGAGACATAAACAATTTATATAGTCTTATGGATAAAAAGTATCTATATTATCTCAAGTAAATTCAAAAAAATATCATTAAAAATATTATCCAATTACAATTGCGCGAAGCGTGAAAATTCACTAGTTTACCATTAATACATGCTAAACAAAAATTAGGGGAGCCACATTATTTAGACTCAGACTCGGCTATACTTGAGAAGCTCACACGTGGAATCAGAATTTGAAGTTTATAAATTCAGGATTCTAATCCTTTTAAGTTACTGAATTCTAAATTAATGACTTGTACACATTCAATAAATCTCTTAGGACAAAAACATTAGTTGGATTAAAATGACTGGATTCTTGAACTCGTAAGTTATACTCTAACTCCGCCTTGCTCACGTAGGCAGAGCTTTGTGGAGCAATATAGTAGCAAAATGGAAGAGCCCAAATCATATATGTTAATATTATACCCTCCGTTTTCAAAAGAATGAACCTATTTCCTTTTTAGTCACTTTAAAAAAAAAAGACACCTTTGTAAATTTGAAAAGAATGTAACTTTAAACTTCTCATTTTATGCTTAGTGAGATAATTTATAGCTACACAAATATTTATGAATTATTTTGGACAACAAGTTTCAAAAGTGTATTTTTTTTTTGAAATTTCGTACCTAGTCAAATAGGTTCAAACAAATTGAAACGAAGGGTATATTGTGCATCAACAGTAATTGTCTCTGCACTGAAGTACCATCAGCAAAGCCTAACAAGTGTAACACAGTCAGGAATTTGCAGTATGTGTGTGGAGAAGAGTAGTATTATTTGATCTATATGCACGACCTATTTTCTAGCGAAGGGTGTCCAACTGACCATCTGAACTGTAGTTTAGCATAATATTGGAGGAGGGAAATAACAGTAGCAAGGGCAAAAATCAAATCAAAAGATAGGCCTGCAACAGACGATGCAGGATAAGTTCTTTCAACATAGATCCAAATAGAAGGGAAAGAATCACAGCAAGGTGTTTGATAATAAGTAGTGTCTCAGAAATGATAAGAATAGTGAGGTACACATCATAAAACACTTGGTTCAAATCAAGAATTTTTGCTTAACTAAATTCAGAATTTGGTCTCATGCAAGAAGCCATTTTGAGTAATGCAGGTTCAGAGAGTTATCACCGGAAACAATCTTCTGTACAGCTATTTTCACCGCATCCTTGCGGACTCCAATATCAGCAGAATACCTTTTAACACAGTACGCTACCAGACCAATAGGTGCAAGAGACGGACACATGACAGAATATGTACAAGCATATGATAGAGCAGAAACTGAAGCTACCAGACCACCTACCTGACCACTGCGCCCTACGGCCTTTCCTAGGATCACATAACCCGTCTTGCAGTAGATTGCGAAATCCTCACAGTTGTTCTTGAAAAGATTGTAATCTCCAAAACCGTTACTAAGAAGAAGTTCAGCACGGTGAAGGACATCCCCTGGCTGATCAGAAGGGGCAGTAGTACATGTTCCTCTAACTTGGGCAAGAAAGACACATGTTGATACACCATATTTAAAACGGTATAGTTTATCACCAGAGAGGAAGCATTCCAGGCATGAAGAGATGACCCCATTATTCCTTGGTCGATCACCACATGTTGGACAATGGGATTTAGAGCAAAGAGAGGAAAATGAGCTAAAGATGAAACAATCAGCATCTGTTCCTGTTCCTATCTCCCTACCTGCTGTTGACGTGAAATGGATCACGTTTCC